AAATATACAAAAAAATTCCCCGATAATTCTCTATTATATCCATTTTACAGAATCTAATTATCTCTTGTACTTTAGGAGTAATGGCCAAAACGCGAGCCGCAAGATTACTTGACTGCCCCTTTACAAATATAGGTAGATATGATCGAACACTTGATAATTTACATTAATTTCTTTGTACAATTCAATACAATATGATATTGTCAACTAAATACAACTGTGTAAGGTTGGCTATGGATGGCAGCATGACAATATTTAAAATTGTCAAAATGCAATAAATACAATTATTTTAGGTATTTCAAATGATAAATATTGGATTTCAATATTTCAACTTAATTAATAAATAAATAATTTTACAAATTAAATTATAAATTAAAAAATAAAGTTATTATATAAATTGTTTACAATAAAATCATTGATTTTAATATTTGAACAAGTAATATATTTATTTAGACAATATATTGTTATTTAACTAATATAAAGAAAAATTAAACACAATTGATAATTTATTACATTATTTATTTTAAATATTCTCCAATTTGTTGGTCAATCAATTTGTGGGCATTTCTTAAACTCTGGGTATCCTTTGGTGTCGATCCCCACATATCGCCGCCGTGTGAGTAGTTCTCAATCATCACAGCTTTAGTACTATTATTAAGGTCTTTAAGGATACCGAGTGAGTGCCAGGGGTCGAGTGACCCGTTGGGGAACATAACGTTAGTTATGTTTGGCTTTAGACCCCCGTAATAGGCATTCGTCCGGTCGACCGCTTTCTGTATGCTTTGTGTTGTGATTTGTTTACCGTAAATATCGGCACATTTTTTCACGTAAAACTCAACGGGTATAGAGTGACCAGCAATTGAGTCCGGGATATCACTGGTCTGGAAATAACCCAATTCTGTGCACATCTGGTAATACCACTGTCGAGCTATAAATCCATAAATAAAAATTATATTCAAATATTAATTATTTAATTTTAAAAAATCAGTTAATTTTATTAAAACTGACCGAGTATTAATATTTAAAATGCTAATTACATACCCATTCCTTTATTGTCAATGGTTGTGTTTTTTAAGATACTAATCATATCGTCATACTTCATATCACTGCAGGGAAGTGTTTGATTCACACCCTGTACTCTGGCATACCTTTCCAGTGGTGTACCGATTGAGGTGTCGTTCATTATCTTACGGACGCGATCGATATGATTGTTGTACTGAACAATCATTGCTATATTAGTGATCGGCCCCTGAACTAGCCAACGATTATCATTGATATTCTTGCCGTCAAATGATTGGCACAAATTCAATGTTTTGCGTAATTTTATCACACCTTCCGGTGTTTTCAGCAGGTTTTCCAACTCGATGTGGGCTTTCCTATCAATGATAACAATACGTACTTTAATATAAGACAATAATTACATTATAATATAAAGTTATACTTTATATAAACTCATACCTAATATTATCGGAGCACTCCTTTCCAAGCGATTCGCTAACAACTCCTAAATAGTTAGGATTATTGATAATAGCTTCGACGGGTGCGCTCGAGGCTATGGCACCGACAGCTATGTTGGGGTACTTCTCCCTAAACCACGCGGCGAGAGCGCCGGGATATGAGCCCCCGAACGCAACCCATTTGTTGCCTTCAAGTGATAACTTTTTGGTCAAATACAGTGCAAACTGTTCTAAGTCTTTGAGCGCCAATTGTGTGGTCAAGTATTTGAGGTTCTGAGTGGACAGGTCTGGTGTGGGAACAGACCTCCCGTAATACCGGTGCTCTAAAATCACAGCCAAAGCGCCGTACTTTTGAGCCAATTCTCCCATATAAGTGGCATTTGTGAGCCATATTGAACTAACTTCATCTTCACCACTAATCATAAGAAATACTGGTCCACCAGTTTTATAATGGGAATCCTCCACATAATAGCGCTATAAATACATGTTATACACAATATTAATTTTATATAGATTAATTGATTATTTAAGTTTAATTAATTTTGAATCATTTGCTAGCCTTTTTATACATAATTGAATAAGTTTACTTAAAATAGTTTTATCATTATTAATTTATTTTACTAATATTTCAATTACAAACAGACAAGTTTTATAATTATTGTAAAACTAATTTTATTTAACAATGTATAATGTATTCTATATTTAAGAATTATTTACCTGTTTAAAAGTCCTGTTGTCCTGTTTATTAAAATGATCGACTCTCTGGTCAAACCACTGTTCCTCAAACTGATCGTTTGTGTCGCTAACAATCGGTGGTCTAATCACACCTAAGCTGTCCAGCGGTCGACCCATAAACAGTTTGGATCCCAAATTGGGTTCACAATAAACATTACAAATGAATATAAAAACTAATATAAGAATTGTAAAATTCATTTTACATTTATGTTTTGAAGCTTTAAACAATAGGATTTAATATGATTTATATTTGCAAAAAATACTCGCCTTATATACTGTATAGTCAATGATAGACTGTCTATCAATTGAGTGGCAAAATAGTTCTCATCGATTGTGTAATTAACTTTCAAATATACAGATATACTAATAATTGTGATAAAACTACTTAACACGAGTGCATACGGTTTGTGATTTCAAATAGTATGAGATATACTGAACCTTTTATACTAAACCCTTATTTATTGGATTTTAATAAATATTGTAATTCAAAATTTAAACCAGATTTAATCGACGGATGTTACTTTTATTCATTTTTATTATTAGACCATCGGGAAAACAACGCTGCCAAGCCATGGGCTGAAACCCGGACTATAGTGTAGTGAAACCCGGACTAAAGGGTCGGGTGCTGTTGGCTGTGGGGTGAGGTTGAACTACAGCAATCTCGCTACATTAGGAAAGATGTTTTTATATAATGTATGCCTGGATCCCAATGCTAACGGCGTAACCTTATTCACAAACAAGAGTACTCGCACTCGTGCCCATCAATGTTAACTGCGACCCAAGCCTTCACAATACCACTTATGGACCAATTGGCTGAATGATGCTTAGGGTAACCGTTTAGAAGCGTTTTGGAGGCATTTTTGGTTGATTTCATAGATATTAAAGTGTAAATTTAATTTATTTGCTTATAAATAGGTCTGTTAGCGTTACTTAAACAGAAAGATGAATGACGTTATACTTTAATAAATAGCTTAAAATAATAAACGGTAGCTCTAATGATGATCATAATGATCTGTACACGTATAATGATCTAATGATGGTTATGGTGAAAGACAAATATATGGTAAAATATAGTTTATTTATTATTATTATTATCAGTTAGTTTGACTGTAACTGACGTACGTAGATACTTATAACAATATTAAATATCACAATTAATATTTTATTCAAATAATTTAATTTACTAGTATTATACTAATGAATGAGAGTAAATATTAAATTACAATATATAATAATGAATAATTTTATTTGTCTATTTGATAATTTTATAACTTTCAGCTTGATCTGTACACGTACATAATTAGTCTGTATTTATCTAATAGTATTTGTCTTATATATAAAATATTAAAATTTAGTACAGAAATAAAATATTTTATATATCAGTATGTTATAGAATATTTATCTAGACTAGTTCGATAATATTTACTAACAATTAAAATTAATTGGTATTTAACGTGAATATTATTATTAATAATAATTTATTAAGCATGTTGAAAGCTGGCAAGTTTTTAAAATTAAAGTATGTAATACTTGTGATAAACAATTTCATTTGGTATTATGTAATTGTAATAAAACATAACATAAAACAAATATAAAAATGGATTCATTGAAAACCACAGAAGTATTGCCGGAATCGGTGGCCATCGGGAAAGCGGGCACTCATTTCTATACCACTGGTCTCTCTTTATATAAGCCATACCTCAATGCAAATAGAAATATCATTAGAAATCCTATCCTTGTATTTATAACATCTCTGCTATTTATTATACGACAAATTATTTTAATCATTTTACCGGAACAACCAGAAAAATTCTACGATTACGTTGGCGACCCTACTCATTTTACTGGTCTTATTGGCAGTATTTTGGCTATAAATACATATACGCTATCACTGTTGTCACAAATACTCAATTATTATAACTATAAGACTGGCGTAAAAGCTGCTGATTTACGTGTATTTCAAATGCTTTGCGGTATAATAACACCAATAAGTGTTGGCATTCATGACATACGTCTCGTCAAAAAATTACTTTCATTTTCACGTAAATCCATATTAATTGGCGAAACAAGCGATAGGTTAATGTGCCCTGTTGTGTTTTTTATTTCATTCACCGTGTTTGCCATTAAGCAAACATATTTTGAGATGATATACTTGGCGTTACCCCATAGTATTCTATGGGGTATTGCTTCTACCTATGTTTGTACAATAATTATATGGCAGTTAATTTACTACTTTATTATTACATATTATTTGATATTGAAATACATGTCAATTAATCAAATGATTGTTGATTTTAAGCCAAACAACACTTATGTAAAAACGCGAAATATAATGCATTTATTAAATAAATTATTTGTAGAAATCAATGATTACAATAATATATATTGGTCCAAATTTTTAGTTATCTATTGGGTATTAATTAGCGGTGTTTGCAGTACTATTGTATACGTTATGTTTTTTGGCGACACATTAATATACGCCCGATTAGGCATTGGTTTGGTTGGCATACAATTCCTATTGACTCTATTATTTGTAATACACTTTTCGGCACTGCTTTACAATCAGTCGGATATCGCATACCATTCGTTGAATTCGTCGCTTATTAAACACCGAAGAAGTAGATCATCAAAAATAAAGGTTTACCTAAAATTAAGACATTAAATAAAAATAATTGAACTTATATTTTTTTAATGTCCATTTAAATCAATAGTTAATGTCAATAATTGAGAGATTGGGTGAAAAAAGGGTTGGATTTTATTGTTGGAAATTATTTCTTATCAATAGATTCCGAGGATATGAAGTTAGTATTAAATAGTAATTTAATTATATTATATTATAATTAATTCTATTTACATAATTATTTTATATTTTTAGATTCTTTCAATAATAGGTTTGTTATTTATTAAACTCATTGAAATGTCTAAATAGACATTATTATACTTTACAAAACAAACTTTTTCTTCAAATATAAATCAATTATAAAAATCAATCATTTTATGCATTTTTATTAATAAAAATGTAATTTTTATTTTTGTTATATTGTATTTTAAATAGTTTGTTAAATTATTAAAAAACATTAATGTTAGTATGAAATAAAGTAATTGATAAAACAAAGCTTTTAATAAATTATATATTTATTTCAAATATTCTCCAATTTGTTGGTCAATCAATTTGTGCGCATTTTTCATTTTTCATTGGTCCACCAGTTTTATAATGGGAATCCTCGATGTAGTAGAGCTGAAGTAATACACAATATATGATATATTTTACCTGTATATTATTCAACAGTAAAACACG